TTTCGCGAGCTATGCTAACTACATCCTATTCTCTACCTTGTACTCACCCAATAAATAAAGTACCTGCTGTTTTCCTTTTACACCAACAGAAGCCTTTTTCCATTAATACTTTAAGGGACATACATGCGTAGTTTGTTTGAGCATCAGATTAATATATGGGAGATTTGCATGTTAAGGCACTTCTAGAGAAAGATATTAGACTTTAGACACTTTATAAAGTAGAGGCACTTTATCATTATTTCGGAGACAACGTATGACGCTTCTGCCCCTCCGTAAAACAAATAAACACAAACTTTACATTAATTCATGTTTTAATATAGATAACTATACCCTAGACCATACTTTGTTAACCCAAGCAACAAAATGTATACCCTAAAACCAAATTATAGAATCCCTAACTACTACTACTTTATATTAATTCATGTTTTAATATAGATAACTATACCCTAGACCATACTTGGAGAACCCAAGCAACAAAATCTAAACCCTAAAACCAAATTATACAATACCTAACTACTAGTAGACCATATTTAGAAAACCCAAGGGAAAACCGTTCGCTTGGTTTCTGATTATCGCAGTTGGTGATGGACTATTTTGTTTGGACAACCAATAAATAAAACTATACCCTAGACCATATTTAGTAAACCCAAGCGAAAATATTATAATTTCGATTTTAACATCATAGGAATACGAAAACTAATAATACTAAAATATAAACAATTATTAAAATTTTATAGAAAATCACTCTTTGTGAGATGTCTTCCCCTTTATACAAAACGTCTTCTTTACACTCAAATGGGTAGATTCGATATATACATCATAGGAATACCAAAACTAATAATACTAAAATATAAACAAGTATTGAAATGTTATAAAAATTTCAATAAAGATAACTTTACCCTAGAATATATTTAGTAAACCCAAGGGAAAATATATTAATTTCGATTTATACATCATAGGAATACCAAAACGAACAATATTGAAATTTTATAAATTTTTCATAAAGATAACTATACCCTAGTCCATATTTACTTAACCCAAGTATATTAAACGTAAATGTGAAATTCATATATTATGAAAACCTTGTATAGACACTTTTTTTTAACTAAACTTCTATAATACTCACTAATAATTATAAACCGTTCGCTTGGTATCTGATAATTCTAGTTAGTCGTGGACTGTTGTGCTTGGACAACGAAACTCGTATCTATAGACGCAACGGTTCATTGATAATAAAAAGTAACCATTGCATTCAATATTGATCCTTATTTTTGGCTTTTTCGTATTCATTGCCTTTTAGAGTTCATTGAATATAGGATAAACTATTAGAGACTGTACATACATCCAACTATGTTCGTGGCTTTCAGACTTCCAATTTTTTCCATTATATATTCGTTACCCCTTATTCTCGCCAAAGATAGACTTTACACATAAAAAAATTATATATAATAACCAAAGCTTTTTGTCTCCACCGTCTCGAAGAACTAGGGATTTAGGTTTTGCAATTCGATATGGGTCATTACCACAATCTTTACGAGTTGTCACCTGTGATAACGGGATGGACGATCTGTGTTATGGTGCTTAGGGTTTACAGGAAATGGATCAATCAATCCTCGTTCCAACTTCGCTTGGTGTTGGTCGATACATCGGTAAGTTATCTACTGTGTCATGTGTAATTTTATCTCTCAATTTATCATACTTACTTAACATGCAATTCACAATTGTTTATTAAAGGGCACCCAAATTGAGGCAATAATCGATCGGAGTTTTTCTAAATTTTACTATGAAAAAATCAAAGAAAATCAGTGGAAAACTATAACAACATTCCGTGTTCGCCCTAACTCGGAAAAAGTTAGAGCCACCTCTCATACTTATGGGATATGGTTCGTCGATGAAACTTGTGTCACATCTGCTGATCCTAGAGAAACTGTCCTCTTTAATAATTTCACACCTTTCGACTACATTGTTGAGGACACTGTCCCAACAAATACATTGATTGGTAATTGGAATTCCCTTTAATTTAAACTTAGTCTTCACATATGTTTAAACGCTTGTACCGATCATATTAATCTTTGTGTATTTCAGATATAATTGGTGCTGTCGTCTATGTTGGTAGCCTGACCAATAACGCTCCGGATCGTGCTGATATCAATGGATACAGAATTCCTTTCAAACTCATGGATAGGAAGTAATTATACAATAAATATATATATACGTTAGGAATTATTTCATAATTTCCTACCTAATTTGTGTTTATATATGTTAACATTATATTTTTGATATTTTCAGCCATGTAGTACTGAGATGTGAGGCAACTGGGCAAACCGCCCTAGACTTTGACAGTAGCTACCGCAGATTTGGTCATCCGAATATTATTCTTGCTCTAGCTTGGTGGAGGATTGATAGGTATGCAGCAAGGCCGGAAAGTGTGAGGATTGTTAGCCATGGGCCTATATCGAAAGTTTATTCGGAGCCAGATATTGAAGAAGTGGAAGAGATCAAAATGGTGGCGATTAACTTATCCAAAAGCTAAAACTAATATTCATGTCTCTCTTATGATGATTGGTGAATGTTTTTGTTAAACTTTTTGTAAGGATGTACTCTGATGTAATATCTAACCCTTATTCTATCTCCCTTATATGTAGTTATGTATTAAGTTTTTGATAAACCTTTGTTTATTATGTGGCCTTTTTAATGATTATGTAAGTTTTAATTATCCATATAACTTGTTCAAATCCTATCAGAGATGATATACTGGCTACTACTACTTTATATTAATTCATGTTTTAATATACCCTAAAACCAAATTATACAATCCCTAACTACTACTACTTTATATTAATTCATGTTTTAATATAGATAACTATACCCTAGACCATACTTGGAGAACCCAAGCAACAAAATCTAAACCCTATACCCTGATTGTTTTTTTTTATTTTGGTTCCTACAACATATTAGCATTCACCCCCTACATCATGGTTATAATGTCAAAGATATTTGACTTTTATATTTGTAGTTGTTTATTGTATGAAAAAACCAATCCCATCCCTTAATAAAGAAGACATAAGTGTCCAACAGTTGTAATCCCTTAGGGGGGAAATTTCCCGCTTAAAAGTTAAATGGGGTGATAAGACAGATTGTCTCTTCTTCCCTCATAGTTAGGTTTACAAGTGTCCAACTTTATATAGCCAAAATAAGATGGTTTTCGGGATAAATATGTTATTTCTCTACAATTACCTTTTCTAACATAACCAATAGAAAAGGTTATGGATGGCTTACTATCTGTATTATTAGATAAAATTAAAATAACTTTCTAAATTTTTTGTAAAATTAGTTATGATTCATAAATACTAATTATTATATAAGTAACAAATTTAAATAATTTGTTATTTTTCCTATGATTCAAGTCTCTAACTTACTAAATATTCAATGGACATGGCTGGATTACTAGATTTATTTTTAGATATTAGTACATAAGTTACCCTTAATTATGTGAGTGATATGTTATAGTGACCCCCTGTTAAAAGTGACTGTGTTTTGTGAAATGAAAAACCTATCGAGTTGATCCAGATGGACACTATACTTTGCCTATATAGACTTGGACACCTTATTAACAATCTAGCTAATTAGGTCAACTTACGTTAAATCTGCCCATCTAAAATTTGTGCGGGAAATTTCCCCCCATAATGATTTAAACTTTTCACTGTTAACTCTTCTTTAGTAATGGATTGGGTTTTAGATTAGTTATTGGGATAATTAACAAGTACACATAATCAAGAAACCATTTTGTTTATAATTATACAAACAACATAATTTATTCAAAAAGTTTGTCTTTTTCAAAGTCGTAGAGATGTCCAAAAATAAGTATCCCTATCACATAACATATTGTGAATGGACTGAGTTAAGGTGTCCAATACTAAAAATCCACGTTTAAAAATATTTATATTTTTACGGCGTCGCATATAATCAAACCTCCCCCAAACACGATAATCCGGAGCTTTTCTTTTCGAGATTTTTTCCATATATAGATTCTGATATTCCGGAGTAGGAACCACGATGTCGTCATGCGAAAGTGGAGGTGAGTAATCTATAATTTAAATGGTAAAAAATTTGGAAAAAGCTATTATCGAGATAAATGATGATATCTTTTTGATCTGGTGTAGGAGTGAGCAACCTGTCCTCTCACACCGTGAGTGGAATCCCTCGGCAATGTACATGTGGCCAATTATCTGTGATGAAGACTTCAAAGACCCCGAAAAATCCTGGTAGACTCTTTCATTGTTGTCCTTACGGATCGGAGGAGGTAAGCAGATAAGCAACATCAATAGGAAAATCTGATTTATTTGTTAACATTTGATTAAAATTTTGTTTTGCCAAATATAGAGTAAGAATCATTTGTTTAAGTGGACCGACATATCCATGGTTGAAGAGATGGAAAGTGTTAAAAGGGTGGTTAAGACTCTGGAAGAAGACTTGGAAGTGATAGAGAAGAAATTCAAAGAATTTGAAGATTTTAAGGAACAAACACAGAAAGAGATTGAAGGTCTTAAGTGTGGACTGTTGCTATGTGGGAAAGATAGAGAAGATATTTGTGTGAAGAACAAAGTATTTATCTTTGGTGGTTTAATCATGGCTTTCGGATTCTATGTATTATTCAGTTGAGAGTAGAGTTAGTAGATTTAAGTATGAAATGTAATGTATGTGTGGGACTACTTATTCTATGAATTATGTTTCCATTATGTTTCATCCGACTCAAGTAATTTGATTTGTTAAGACTCAGTTCATGTCAAGGATAATAGATAAGAATAATGTGACAATAGAGTCCTAAAAGGACTGTAACAATGGATGAATTAATATGGATGGAAAGATAGGATGTAGACAAAATGAATTTCAGAGAAAATAATAGTTTGGGTACAGAGTACATAATAAAGAAAGGAAAAACAGAGCAGGCGCCAGTATCCACAGGAATATAGTAGGAAAGAAGGGAAATGATGGTTACGATTACAGAGAAAATAATAGTTTGGGTACAGAGTACATAATAAAGAAAAACAGAGTAGGCGCCAGTATCCACAGGAATATAGTAGGAAAGAAGGGAAATGATGGTTACGATTACAAACAGAAACTTGGGAAACATGTAGACACTAGGCAGCAAAGTCAGATGCATAAACAGGACAGACAAGATGCTCATAAATATCCATTGCATATTGACGCCTGAAACTGTCAACGTGTTTGTCAGTGATTTTCTCCATTTGATCTGGGAGTTTATCGCTTGCCATTATCTCAAGAAATTTCATAGCAACCGGGCCACAGTCACCAGATCTAACATTCTTGTATACACCATGTATTCGCCTCCACAGGAAAGGTTTTAGTCCATGGTTCTGGGAACATGCGGGCTTACAGTACCTCTGGATGAGGTGTGGCAAAAGGGTAACAACAGGCTCGATACATTCTTTAACTTTTTCCTCCGAATTGAGGTCAGTATTTGGGTCGAGAATTTCAACTTCCCAGACTCCTAGATTGATTGAAAGGCCTACCCAGTGGCAAGAATTCCAGATCATAGGTACGTAAATGGTATCAATGTCTGTGAACCACTCGGTGGTGGGGCCAACAATAAAGCGTTTCATGGGATCGGACCAGCGGACGCGAGATTTGATTTTTGCTGCTTTGAAAGATTTGTATTTTCCTTGTAAATGGTTAGCAAACCATGGTTCAACAAAAGCAGCACGCTGTGTGGCAAGTCTTGTTGCAAGCCTACTAGAAAGTAACTCCACTAAAACCTCCATGTGCTGTGGAAAGAAAGGCTAATATATTATTATCTCTGAGTACTGTCTAAATACAGAACAATGAGTTGAAAATAAAATATAGTTACCAGAGTTGAAACCCAATTTTGAGGTTTTGCAAGCTTCAGGAGGAATGAGTTGGGAAATAGGAATCCAGAATCCGTAACATGTTCCCTGAGAGGAGTAACAAGGATAGTTTAGGTGCCTTAATGACCACATGTGAGGATTGAAGAAAACAATTACAGTGTATGCATACGTATTAGGAGCTGATGAAAGGGTATCCAAAAAATGGGCATAATCTGTCTTTTTTAGGAGTGGTAAAAGTTGGTATGCCTCCATTTTTGGTTTTGATAAAAACTCAGCTACAAGAATAGACTCAGGTTCCGAAAGAATAGGTTTTTCTCTCGCTTGTGCTGGTGATGAATCTGAAACATTAACTAAATCCTCTTCTATAGGGTCTGATTTGTTAGACAGTTGCGATTTATTATCCTGGAAGATAAAATAAAATAAGCAATCATAATACTGTTATATTAAAAAGACCAAATTAGGAGGAAACAAAATAGAAAGTACATATGAATGACTAACAATGGAATCTTCTTTGTCCTGCAGATAAAGGAGAAATTGAATTTTAAAAGTCAATATCAATAAAAACTTGTTCTATTTATAAAAGGATAAAATTATAAGTAAACCTGATTATCCACAATGTTTTGTCCATCAATGTTTTCCCTTAAGAAGATTTTACCCTGCACCAATATGGAAAACATTGTAAAGTTAATGGGATTAAATGGTAAGAAGTAAAGAATGACTGAAATAGTTCATAGGCAGAGATAATATGTCCATACCTTAGTTGGGGATGATTGGTTGCTTATCTCTGATTTGGATGTGGTATCAAAAACAGGATCCCCCACCAATACCAATGCCTACAAACAGAAATAATATAAGTAGAAATACACATAAGAATTTGGGAATTGGTATACAAAAAACTTTAAATACACGTCATACAATACTGGCAAAGTTTAAAAGAAGAGAAGACCTGCAGTGGATTATCTTCAGAGATTGGTTGCATAGGTGTATCAATAATTTCCTGAGATGCAATAACACTAACCAATGTTTCCTGAGTGTATTAGCAAAAGGAATATGGTCAAATAGATATGTCAAAACAAGTATCCATTAATTCGTGACCATTATAACAAGACACACTCGGAAACTACTATGTTTTTTTGAAGGTATACCTTTATTGGGACATCTTCAGCAAATACCAAAGGCTGCAAACAACAAATAAATCAAATAACTATCAATATTATACTGGTATATATTATATTATAAAGAGCAGTTTTAGAAACACACAAAAGACCAATGGGACTGCAAAAAGGAATAATGAAATAAAATACGGGACCTTCAGTGGATTATCTTCATCCATTGGTTCAACAGGTGTATCTATAACATATTCAGACACATGGACAGTAGCCAATGTTTCCTGATATAATTTAAAAACTGGTAAGAGATTTGTTTCGAAATTATGGTAGTGAAAAAATTATATAGTTTATAAAAGTGACCAAATATTCCTGTCCATCATATCAAGAAACAGATCGTAACTATGATATATTGTTTGAAGGTAGACCTTAAGAGGGTTATATGCAGCTTTGGGTTGTCTGGAGGTATATACCACAGACTGAGGTGCATATAATCTATAGAATTCATCCTTGGAGTTGAAATTTAAAGATAATGCTTAGAATACACATATCAACTATGTTCGGTTGCACAAATTCTCGGGCTTGTAGTCCTAATTTAGAAAGCAATGTATGAGAAGATTTGATGGCAGTTAGGTTGTAGTACCTCAAATTGTTTTTGAAGCTTCGTTGTAGGAGGTTGAATACTGTCAGCAGCCATTGGAGATTTGATGGCAGTTAGGTTGTCACTTTTATCGAAACTGGGATCATTATTAATGTCCTTAACCTGTAAGAATAGTTAGGTTGAACTGTTAAACAAGAGAGAAAAAAAACTGGAATGGTCGCGTTTAAGACTAGCCACACATGTATATGTGTGCAATTATACCTTGGAGCAAGATGGATTGTATTCGTTACCCTCGAGAGCAGAAGGGGTATTCAAACCAAGGGAATCTTTGTTGGCAGTGTCATAAATGGGATTTCCTTGATGTGTATCAGGCTTATTAGGCTCTTCTGATGGGAGTGGGGTAATCAAGACATCCATGGGGTCAGCATCAAGCACCTGATTGTCATATGTGAAGCAATGATTAATTAAAGGGTAATTTTAAAGAGTAGCAAAAAACCAGAACACATACCGGGGTTTTAAATGTCGTTCTTTCAATGGAGTCCTCGACAAAACCATCAACCACATCATGGACGCCCAACTGGCCAGGATACCCAAATACCTCCCGGTATTGTTTCCAGTTGTGCTGAACACCATCACCAACCAATATATCTCCAGGAGATTGAGGTGCGACATCCGATATATTGAAATTCTTGTTGGATTGTGGCTGTTTAGAAAGGTAAAAAATGTTTAATATTATATAGATATTGTTACACAATAAGTAGGAAACAAATAAGATATAACAGACATACCTCCATATCCAAATCAGTGTTAGTTTGCGCGAACCCGGAGTTATATTCTGACTGATTGCTGTAGCCTTCATTATTGTTTGCCATAGGCAAATAATTGTCTAATTGTGATCCGAAATTGTCAGCATTGACTTTGGTTGCGCAGTGATCCTGTAATGTTAAACCACTTTTTATATTAATATTATAGTTATAGTCATAGCTATGTGAGTGGTAGAAGCTATAAACCTCCATAAGAAAGCCTTCATGTATGTGTGCGTTTGATAAAAATTCATTGCTTGAACGATCATTCTGGTAAGAAATAGAAGTTGTTTCCATAAGGTGAGGGGCAAACAGTGTCACTGAAGGAAGGGTAAGATATATACCTCATTGGACATATCATCCGGAGTGGTCTGAGATTTAACAGGAACTTTAGCTTGCGTCATGCGCCTGGATCTAGAGGCAAATTCACCACATCTAGAAGAGAGTTTCCTAGAGCGCTTGAATATGATTGCCTTATTTCTTTTTTCTAGCTTCAATACACGCTTTGATAGCTCTGCCACTTGGTTTTTCAGTTCCACCATTAAAGAAGACTTCTCATCATCACATAGAGTTAGAGAAGACCGGCTATGGGTAGCATAGCGATGCTTTGATTTTGGAGACTGACACTTCACACGTAGTCGCGTGTTAGATTTCTTCTGCCCTGGTTTCTTTTTACGCTCGACAATGTGCCTTTTATGAACAACTGCGACTTTCTCTTTTGGGATAGAAATGAATGGTAATGAGTCATCACCTCCTGGCCATTCAGATTTATTGAATTTATTTGATCTGAGTATCAGTTCCAACATATAAGCTACTTTCTTGTCTTTCACCTCATCATCCCACTCCCCCCAAGATTTGTCAACATTTTGGCCAAGAAGAATATAAGGATCCACTTTCTCCTGACCAAACAGAAGGGTAAATTGAGTAACAAAGAGGGTATGTAAAGATGAAGCTACCAAGGTTGGAAACTTATACCTTCAGGTGGTGCTCAAGAGCGTGTATTTGAGAAAGAGAAATTAATTGTTTTGGCAGAGAGACTTTATTCCAGTGTTTGATAGTCAATGAGGTGGAATCATCAGTGACCAAATCAACCATGCCAGGAATGTTTCGAAATGCTAGGAGTTGCAACGCAAGCGGAAAACCTTTCAGACGGAATGTGATCTGCTGAAGTTGTTTGGCGAAATTCTTCACAGGATCAGTTGACACCAATTTTTTCCCAGTGCCTGATGGTAGAATACGTTTCCCGGGTCTCATGGATGCTATTGTCTTCATAAATGACTCTCTACCCCAAGGGAAGGCAAGGAACGCTTCAATATCTGCCAACATCTCAACATATTTAAATGTGGGCCTCCCCGTTTGGTTTGAGGATATGAGGACACCATCAACAATGAGGAGATACGCAAGCTTAACTCTGTGTTCAGGAGACAAGGGTTTTTTGGGGTTGAGGAGCATTTCAGATACATCACCTAAGGTTGCGTCCTTATCTTTCCCTATTAACTCGTTCCAGTAACAATCCTGCCCTTCAACATAAGATGGCTCACTTTCTGGATCATAGTCCTCTAGAAATTCACCGCAGGGCAAACCAGTTAAAGCACCAAATTCAATAAGGGAAAATCTCAGGGGTTGTCCACCAAACACAGTCCATAATTCATACTTCCGTTTGGTTATCAACTGCCTACATAGCAAAGAATGTATCAGCTTGCAAGAACTAGGGCTTCGACTTACCGGCAAGTCGAAGAGAGGACCGAAGCAAGATTGCAGAATAGTGTCGAATTCCGGTGTCCCATGGAAAATAGACCGGATAAACGAAAGAATGTCGGGTTTACAATAGACATTTAGCCTCGCTTTGGGATAACGATCAGTGGCGAAAAGTCGATTAGGAAGATTTGAATCCCATTCTGAAGAAGGTTGCTTTGAAGTCGAGGCTGCAGTTGGTTTTTGAACTGGTTAATTGCATAAATTAGTTATGAGAACATGAGCATTGGGTTCAATAATTACCTTCCATTAGGGAGATGCGTGGAGTTTCTGATAATGTAAACACTTCGAAGACAATGATGTACAGCCCTACGACAACGATGAAGTAGGGAAACCGTGCGACAGGGGTTAGTTGACAAAGGAAATGGCGGGTCAGATTTGAGCTTTAAACGGGAGAATGAAGAAACGGTAAAGAAGTTGGGAGAAGAAATTAGGGTTTTTTACAGTGTGGGGGAAACCGTAACAAGTGGGGAGGATAGAGACAGAGGCAAACCAGGTTCGGTTTGTAGAAAGAGAAACAGAACCGGCTGTAGAACCGGATTGAGGGTATAATGGAGATTTGGCAATGTGAGAGTGCCTTCTCCCTTCAAAGTGCCTAAAGGCACAAATAAGTTGAGGTAAGTGCTTTATTATGCAATAATTCCTATATAATGTACATGCTTCTTCTACCAAACCATAACTCAAACAACAAATATGGAAAACCTTGATATCAATGTTGCCATAGATATTGCTATGCGTGTAGGAGCTGATAGTTTCATCAATCTAGGGGGAATGCTTGGGACTTCAAAGTTCTACAACACACTTGCTTCTGATCCTGCAGTTCTTCGTACTATCTCTCTACAATATCTTTTCAACAATCCTCATCTTATTACCAATGAATCTCCTTTCCATCCATTTTTCTCCCGCTGTGTCCAAGCTGGTAATCCAACTGCGTGTTACCTAGAAAGCCTAAAGCTTGCAACAAGAGAGGGTCGGGCAGAGTATGCTCTCCAACTGCTGCTATCGCAACCGGATCCTCTACCTCATGCTAACTTCACCATAGCCTTGCTGCAAGTGTGTTTGGGCTTTTACGATGATGCTCTTCGTAGCTGTTCTACATTTTTATGTTCTACTGGCTCATTCGAAGCAGCAGATTCCATTGGCAGTACTGTCTTCAGGCAAATAATGCAAATTGGCCCTTTGAAGATACGGAGTCATAGTAATACTTGGAAATGGGTCGACATTCCTCTCTGTCTAGGCTGCAACCTAAGCAACAGATGCATTAACTGTTTCCTCTATTGGTTCTCTGTTATGTACCTCCTCCTGTGCTAGTTCTCTGCTCTTGCTCAGTTCTGTTGGTGTCTTTGATTGTTTTTTTAAATAATTTTAGTCTTTCTTCCTCTTATATGTATTTTCCCTTTTATGTGTTTGTTCTCCAGCTTAAATATGTTATTCTTCTTTTAACTTATGCTCTGTTTCCTTTTACTACTCTCCACTGACCCAAATAAGCTTACTGACACATTTACCTACTCCTTCTGTTCCCCCAAAACGCATCCACTATGTTCTCCTATTTCACCTGTAGTCATAAATGAGTACACCATTTACTCAGTTCTGAACTACCATATTTATTGCATACAATGGAAAACACTGAAACTTCTTCCGCCTATAAAACTGAGAACTACCTCTCCACCGTCTTCCCTCAGCGTACCCCAAACACATAAAGAGCAAGCGCAAGACAATGAATACCATTCCAAATGTTCTTCTTACTGACATTGTTAGGCGTGTAGGGAAGCATGGGTTCCGTGAGCTTGGCCCTCTAATCGCTGCTGGTCCTGCTACCAAAGCAATAGCTTTCGCAGACGAAGTGCTCCAGGATGCTGACATAGATGAATTCATCTTCGTGAGCCGCCTATGCCTTGAAAACTCCAGGTACAGGCCTTTCCTTTTAAAATGTGTTGCTGCAGGCAACGTTACTGCAAACTATGTCGAAGGTCTCCGCTTAGCTGTTCAGACGGGCCCTAGCCAAAGGGCACTCGATCTAATAGCTTCAGCAACTGACGAAGTTATGTACGCTCACTTTGCTCTTGGATCTTTCCTGATTTGCTGCGGTGCATTTGACCAAGGCATGGAAGTGTTCTTTTCTTTCTTCAGAAGTGTTGGCACCATTGAGGAGGCTGTTGGAGTTGCTGAAATGGTTATACATCAAATAGCGGACATGGGAATTTTACCTTCTGGCCTCTATGACAACACACTCCGCTTTGGTGGGTTACCACACTGTGTGCTCAACAACTTCTCTCTTCTCCATCTCTGCCCAAAATGCTTCGCCTTCCACTACGCAAGGCGTATTCAGGCAATGTGCTAACCCATCCTCCTATCTCGTCAGCCACTATCTCGCTCTTATTCTGTAGACCATGTTACTGATGTATTAGTATATGGAACTGTCGTATGCTGTAGTCTTTATTATGCCAAACTGTGTAACGCCTAAGCCAAAAAACCTGCTACTCCTGTCCTACCTCTAGTGTTTCCTTTTGATTCAGAAAACAAAATTTTCACCAAATGCCATTGTCATATATATAGTTAGGG